CCCCCCCCACCCATAGTCGAAGTCACCCAACGGACCTCAGATTCGAAGTCTCCACATCGAAATACCTCTAGAAATGTCTTTTTCGAAAAATTAGTTTTCGATGTTTTTTTGACCTTTGACCCTTGACCTTTGACCTTTCACCTGGACAGACAGACAAACGCATTTTCGTTTTTTCCGTATCACCCTCCTTCCAGTCGAGGGAAAAATGGTATATTTTAGCTCACTCTATCAATCTGTTTATATAATATCGTCATTTTTGTGGATTGTGATGCTTTTTCGTTGTATTGATTAATTATTTTAAATAAAAATGGATCAGACTTATCAATCTTAAGGAAATTATATTATTATTGAAAAAGTCTAAGCTAAAACATAGCTAGATGTTGTTGAATATTAGTTGTTGTCAGTTCTTAGTCAAAAACTTTTGATAGAAATCTTTCTTTGCTCTTAATATTAGCAGATAATACATGATAAATCAAAATGAGAGCTATTAGTATTAAAAATTTTAAGAATTATGAGTTGACTATCGAATATCTTCGTTAAACTGACGTAATGCACGGTTATTCGAAAGTACTAATTGGTTAATTGATGTACGAAATGCACCAGTATTTCACCGGTAGAGTAAAACATCTAAACTGGCCGGTTTTTCACCAGTATTTTGCCAGTTAAGTGACAAATTTGGACCGACCAGTCCAGTCTGGTCTAATTTTTTCAGGCCGGTTCCAAGTCTGCTGGAGTCCAGATATCTGACGAGGATAGAGTTTTTTCTATTGTTTAATCTACAATTGCTTACTATTCAATACAATAGAGATTTTCTGACTAATATTAGTTTTTAGACATAGTTTAAAGTGTTTAACAAGAAAATGGAAATCCCTGGAGTACAGCGGAATCCAGGGAATCCAATTGAAATCTCAGGAGTACAACAAGAATCCCGACAGTACAAGTAAAATCCCGGGAATACGAAATCCGCCGTTTCCTCCTTGGGTGTGGCTGTGTGGTAGATGACAGACAGACATCGACACTCACACCCACACCCTCACCCTTACTCACTTGATCTCATTTCGAAGGATACCTTGACAGCGACTCCAACTCCAACTCTGATGCAGGGAACTATCACACTGACACCCTCACCCACACCGTCACCCACAAAAACCCGCACAATAAATACATTTCACAAAAAAAACATTTCTTTCAGTATTTTTTGATGAACAGAAAATGATGTTGATTTTACTTTTTACTCATCGATGAGTTGATCAATAACAAATCATCGAAGTATTGTGCCGTGCTTCTCTTCGCATTTGAAAAAACAAAATTCATCATTTGTAGAGTTGCAGTGAGAGAGAATTGAAGTGACACTTCTAACGATTGAATGTGCAAAAAAAAAAAGAAAAAAAATCTCTTTTTACCTTTTTCATTTTTTTTCGAACGGTATTGAAATCATTTACAGTTTTATCTTCGACAACGACACATTTTCAAACTATGTGAGTTTTTGTGAATAACAAGGCAAAAGCTGACCGTTCGATTGAATAGATTTGTTTTCGCTCTCCTTACATCAGACTGGAATAGAATTTGTAAAGAGTTATTCAATGCCTCTCAACTTCCCACTTCATCAGAACGATGTGCGTCTGAGTGTGGGTGATTTTCACCCACATCATCTCACCCACATTCGATAGATCTGCACCTTTATCGATCTTGACTAAGATTATCTTGAGGATGTGACAATGTCAGATGGAAGCAACAATCTTATTCTCGCTCATTTCGACTGCATTCTTGAGGACTGTCCACAAGTAATGTTCGTCGTCTCGACTCACTTCGCCCTCGACTGTGAAAGAAAAACCAGCAAAGTATTTTTGAAACTGGTGCTTTTGTATGAAACTGACGCAGCATATCAATTCAAATGAGCGCATCAAACACTTTTTAAACGCCCACGAGCACCGAAGGGTACAACTAGTAAAGCCTTTACGAAGGCCAAAATAAACCCACAGTTAAGCTTGTGAAAACTCGAGTGTACTCCCAGACTAAAGTTTATAAAGACTCAAGATTAACCTGAAGGTATACCATACTCACTAGATTCCGCGCACACTGCACGACGAGAGGCTCTGCACGCTCGTAACCGAAAAAAACTCCGCATGCTACGCAATCAGTCGCTCACACTATAACAGATCATCGTCCGACGGTCCTTCTATTCCGAATTCCCTTCTAACGCACACATTCATTCCAACAATATGAAGATTGAGCTTTGCACTCATACTTAGGTCTGACCAAAAGTTCTAAGAACATTATTGGCAATTTTACAAGGCAATTAATATTGAGGAATTTTTCACATGAATAAATAGTGGAATCTATTGGCTATAATAATATACAGAGTCACTTTATTTTGGACTCAGTTACAATATTTTTTTCAGAGTACCTTTACTACGACCTAAAAAAAATTTTTTAAAGTAGAAAATGAATTCGATCGATACTATATAAAGATTCGGACTATTTTGGGAGCAGATCCTACAACAACTCATCAAGAACTTTCAACAGCTATAGGATCCAATGCTCCATCATACTCAACAGTTGCAAGGTGGGCAAAGCGTTTCCGTGAAGGGAGAGAAGATGTTGATGATGAACCTCGGCCAGGTCGTCCAATATCCGAGCTTACAGAGAGAAATATTGAATTGGTACGACAGATTATCAACAATGATCCACATTCAACTTATGATGATATCATAGCGGAGACATCTCTCTCTCATGGCACAGTAGAACGAATTATCCACGACCATCTCAAAATGAAAAAAGTTACATCACGTTGGGTACCCCATGAATTGACTGATGAACAAAAGCAAGAACGAGTTAGAATTTGTCGTGAAAATTTAGCAAGATTTGAAAGTGGTTCCTGACGATTATGTGATATTATTACAGGGGATGAGACATGGATTCATCATAGACAGATTGTTCGGAAGTCAACAAACAAAAGCTGAGTTGGCGAAGGTGAAACACCAACAACTATTGTCCGTCGAAGCAAATTTTAATCAAGAACTTTATTTTGCATCTTCTTTAAATCAAATAGTCCTGTTCTTGTTCATGCTGTTGGTAAAGGCAAGACCATAGACCACCAGTACTATATAGAAAATTGTCTGAAGCCTGTTGTCAAATAAATATGGAAACAAAGAAAGTCATCAGGCACAAATGATATAAATTTGCTTCACGACAATGCTCGACCTCATGTTCATTCAGATGTTATTGATTATTTAACAAAAGAAGGTATCAATATAATGTCTCATCCACCATATTCACCTGACCTTGCGCCATGTGATTATTGGTTAAATGATTACATCAAGCGTCATTAGCTCGTGCAATAACCAAGATAGTGAAAAAAATTCCAAAAGAAGAGTTTAAAAAAACTTTCGACGGTAACCGCTGAGAATGTCCTCAAAAAAATGTCCTTTAAAAAATGTCTCCGAGTTTTTGTCCTTCAAGTAAATTATTAACGAAATTAACGATGGTATCTCGAGGGTGCGGGTGTGGGTGAGGGGGGGGGTGAGTGTGGGTGAGGGGTGGGGTATGGGTGTGGATGACCGTTAGCTAAGTATAATATTTACACCGAATTCACGCCACATCCGCACCCATCCACAGCTATGCTTTTGTTGTTCTTCGTTTCTTTATCCTGTTCTCTACTTATTGTTCATGAAAGTGTTATAATTCAACATTTTCGTACCACAGCGTCATCTGCATCTTGACTCAACTCATTTTATACATTAGAGTATAGTGTAAGACATTTTTACGCGAAAGACATTTTCCCGAAAGATATTTTGTCCAAAGACATTTTTAAAAGGACAAAATCCTGGCGAACATTTTTCCTGAGGACAAAAACTCGAAGACATTTTTAAAGGACATTTTTTTGAGGACATTCACATACGTATTTCTTTTGATAAATTGTTGGAAAGAATGGAAGTTTGTATAAATAATCGTGTGGACTACTTCGAACATTTAATGAAATAAAACTAAAATTTTCTCTCTATCTTTATGCTTTTATTTAATGTTCTTAAAACTTTTGGTCAGACCTAAGTAAATACACCCAAATCCACCTATCCCCATCTACTTCACTCACACGCAGCCTACTCCATCCGCCTCCACGCTGTTTCAGCCAATTTCAACGGTCTCACATATTCACACCGACACTCAGCTTCAACCAAACTTCCACACTCTGCTTCCCCAATTTTTATTCAAACCCAGCCCACACAATCTGTGTCGCACCACGTTTCACCTATTTCCACCCATGCCGCCCATTTTCATCGACACAAAGCCTAATCCACCCACCCACACCCATTTTCACCTACGCCCAGCCTATTCTACCCACCTTCACCCTATTTTACCGCCCCCAGCCTACTCTACCCACCCACACCCACACCCACCCACTCCACCATGTTTCACCCATTCCTCCCATTTTGACCCACACTCAGTCATCCAGCTGATTTTCACCCTCACCCACCCATTTCCACCCACACCCACACCCTAGTGTACCCAAGTAAACAATGCAATTTCATAGAACACTCTTCCACACCCTCACACTTTGATCATTTTGTTATTGAATAATCTATTGTTTTGAAACATTAATATATTATTATTGTAGAATTAATAAAGAATCAGACATTTATTTTTAGCAATTGTTTGCATACTTACAAAATTTACAATTCTTATAAAAAAAGACACCGATAACAAGAACAAGTGAACGTAATCCACGACTAGAATTGTTTGCTTAGACTTGTGAATTAATCTATACTAAGATCTCGCACAGATATGGGATGCGTTAGTAAGCAATTAATTAGAATTTAACAACTATTCTCCATTCTAATTATCTTTTATTTTTATTTAAAGGTTCCAAATCAGAAAAACAAAGTCGTTTAAATTGTGTAGGCCTTAAAAGACGGCGCAGCAAAGATCGCAAGAATGCGTATAACACTATAACCATTAAAAATGATAACAAAGTAGAAACAGGTAAGTGAATGATGACCATGCGATAGTAGTCATCATTTAAAACAGAACCATTTAAGTATGACAGTTTTCTCATCCTTCTTTAACCTCTTGGGGCCCGTTGTCTTCAGATTGAAGACAAGCGGAACGAAAAAAATTTGCCTGCGTTCTGTTGTATCGATATACAGCTGTGATAACACAGTAAATATATAGGAGATGGTTCATATATAATAGACTATATCATGTGTATACAGCTGATTAACCATGGCTGAACGCAAGAGAGTGATTTTCTAAATTTTCTATATCTTCGCACAGAACGCAAGAATTTGTCGTGATCCATGAGGTTAACAGAGATTTTGCTGCAGAATAAACCAGACTCCGATACTGTCTGGAGGTAGATTTCGGATTTTGGTCAATCTTAATGTCTAGTTTGAAAAGCTATGATGTTAATATATTGAATCTAAACTATCACGACCAGATGTCGCCACTTTACAGATATAGAGCCGACACAAGTGAGGTAGCATGAATTTCGTAGTAGTAGCTTTCGCTCAATACCGAACTGTAAATTCGGCAATAGCTAATAGTCCAGTCTAGTAAAAAACGACAATACAATAAAAGCATAGCTTTAATTAGTATTAATTAATTTATTTGCTAATTGTTGAACTTTCGGCAATATACAATTTAACGTTGCCGAAATTCTAAGCAGCATGCAATGCAGGTGGCTTGCAATGCAAGCTAAATGCACTACAAGCCGTTTGCATTGCAAGCCACTTCCATTGATAATCGATAAATATGGTGTTGCGATTTTCGACAACGTTAAATCACATATTGCCGAAAGTTCAATAATTAGCGAATAAATTAATTAATACTAATGAAAGCTATGCTTTTATTGTATTGTCGTTATTTACAAAACGGGAATTTCGGCTATCGCCGAAAGTGCACTACGAAAGTCACTACTGCGAAATTCCTGTTTCCCGCGCGGTTGAGCCGACACCTACATGATACGATATCTAAGTTTTTAGCTTTTTCATATATTTCATTCAATTTCTGACTAGTTTAGTTTTCCGACTAATCTTTGCCTATGTTTGTTTTTATGATATAGTTTTCATAAGAGTCAAAATGAAAAAAACACAATTATTAAGAATATAATAGTTTTAATTTCATTTCTTCGTCGTGAAATTAAAAATTATCCGACTCTAACTGATAGTTGTCGAGATGTACTTGGGTTTTGATAATCATCAACCCAGGACAATGATTCTAGTGACCGTCTCTGTAATTGTCCGGCCATAACACGCTGGAAAGTTACCGATTTCTATTGGAACATGTCGAAACTGCTTGGAAGTAAACGAAAGAATCTGCTGACTAGGCATGCACCGGACCCGAAGTGAAGTTCGGGTTCGGGTTCGATGCATGCCTACTGCTGACTGCAGCCAACGGATCGGTATACATCGATTTCGAACTATTCTCTACGAAAACAAAGAAAAACGGCCAATAAATCCGGTTATCGGATTCTCCCTTTCATTTTCTGACCAGTTCCCGGGCTCTTCCGGTCAAAACTGGTTCAGACGTTTCGATCTGCGAACTAAAGCATTTTCTCACTTGATAAGTCTTGCTCAAGTTGTCCTTACTATTCCAGCATCATTTACTCTAAGTGAATCATTATTTTCGACTATAAGTTTCATTGTAAATCCCAAGGAAACAATGTTATCTTCCGAATATGTGGGAAAATTTCAGGTGGTCTAAGATAATTATAGCTTATTTAAGAAAATATAAATGTTTGTTGTTTTTCTATTATAACTTTCTCCTTATATCTGAGTTTGAACAAATATACCTATTCTAATTCATTATCAACTTCTGTTTCTTTTCTATGTCTTCTATATTGTACATCCACAGTGACACTCGAAACCTACAGTTTTCATGTTGCGTTGTAAAGATGTTGATTATCGGATATCGAAACAAAAATAAAGAAGTATTTCTTATTTTGAAAAATTTTCGAATTCGAGTTTTTCAGCCGCCGTCGCCGATTAAGGTGACGGCCTACACCTCTAGACACGAGTTCGGTCGTGAGCTTTCGAGTTCAGATTCGGATTGGCTTGTGAACGTTTGGGTCAAAAAGGTTGTAACACTTCAAAAATATCCGAACCCCAATTCGAACCTAAACCTTCATATTTTCAGAGTATTTTCCCGATCTTAAAAATATTTCAGAAAGGATGTGGACAATATCCCGAACACTCATCATCAACTCAATTCGTAGATGAGGTGGCAAACCCAAGTTTGTGCTGCCAAGAACGAATACGAACCTCAGTTCGAGTTTCGTGCAGACTTAGGCTTAGTTCTTTTCTACCCCCAAACATTTCCTTGACGCTCGAACTTATATCGCACTGAAGTTTTAGATTAACAATGAATAAAATATAATTGTGTGATATTATTGAAATCTTAATAGATAACAGGGATGCTCTCGGCGATTAACAATAGTCGGAAATAATTCAGATTTTCTAGTGAAAGAATGTTTCACCAAGGGTTTTTTCATCAGTTTCGAGATCAAAAGTACACAATCTGATCAGCGGGAAATTTTCTGAATCCTACTAATCATTATAATCTCTGACAATGTGCTCTGATTGTATACATCTAGGCATCTTACAACACCAAATCTTAAAACCCAAATGTTTTGGGTTGGATTTGGTGTTGTAACATGCCTATTCCCATAATATTTGAATATTCATTAGTAGTTTGAATATTACGTGTATGAATTGCTAATGTTTATCATACTGTTTGTACCAACTCTGTTCATTGAGGAGCTATCAAGATCCGCACCATAATGTCTGATAATGATCGGTTGACTACGCAAGTTGTTGTAATGCTTTTTTCAGCTTGAACATCTATCTATAAATCAGTATGTCATGAAAAGTACCACTACACATGTTATCTAAGAGAGTAAGATTGACGCGTTGTCAGTCACAGCTCGTGATGCCATGTTCATTGTTATATAGACCATGTCAAAATCATTTATAATAGATATTGTGACAAATGTCAATAGTGAAATCACATAACTAAGAAGCAAAGCAATCAGAGAAATCATGATCAAATTTAACAATTGTTTGGCTTCTAGTTTCTTTACGTAGTAATAATATCCCCTTGAAGTCTGCATACCTTCAATTCATTTTAACACTGATATTGTGATTTTTTCTTACTTTTTTAACAGACAAGAATATTTACACACTCTCGGAAAATGATAAGAACTTCTATAATAGATAGAAATATCAGGATTAGGAAGATTTATGAAAGTATTTGATAAGTACCTTAGAAATGTAACCTCTTAAATCATAACGTTATAAGTTCAAATTATCTATTTACGTGAGCTCAAAGAAAATTTTTTATATTTTTTTGTTTAGATAAAGTGCAACAACAGACAGGTGAGTCATCCAAAATAAAGCACTATGTGTGTCAGCATTCTGGTTGTAATAATCGATGCGATGGTAACTGTCTTGATAGTGATGATGCTCGTGATCTTCTTTATTATTTTCGTTATCTTCATCTTCGTGCTCGTCTTGATCCTCGTCGTCTTGATCCTCGTCGTCTTCGTTATCGTCGTCGTCTTCGTGAACTTGATCGTGAATTTGATCGTGATCATAATGGTCTTGGTCGTGATTATGGTTTTTGTCGTATTTGTGGTCGTTTTGATGGTGATGATGATGGTGATGGTGGTGATGGTATCTATCGTTATGATCTTTATGATCTTTATGATCGTAATGATCGTAGTACATGCGAGAAATGTGGCCGTGATAGTAGTGATATTGGTAGTGGTGGTAGTAGCGTTAAGGATATTGATATTCTTGATGCTGTATTTGGTCGTCTTCTTAGATGTAAACAATGCAATCATGTTTATTGTCATGACTGTTGCTTTAAGGATAACTGATGTTACTTCATTACCGCTAACTTTTCTTTTTTTCTTTTCCTGTCCTTATATATATATATATATATATATCTTTTTTTCCTTTTCTTTCTCTCTCTATGAT